TAGATGGGCCATACCTAGATCTTCGTATGAGGCACTTTTCCAAAAAAATTGCCTTTTACCGTACGGCGGCGTAAATTGTAAAGCTGCGGCGTTTCTTGATTTTGCGGCGGCGTTTAATTTTTCGTAATTGGCTCGAAGCTGTATAGTTGGGTGATTTGTGCCCTTCGTTAGGTATAGTTGGGTATAGTCGCGTCAAACCCCGAAGGTTGATGAACGCACCCCAAATGTGTGAACTTCTTGTCAACATACCGACCGGTAACCTTTGGGAAGATGCGGAATTGGCGCAGTGCTTGAACTATGTTTTAGCTTCGAAACGGCTAGTCGTTCCGGAAGAGTACCAAGCTCCCTGAAAGAGATTGATAAGCATTCAACACAAAAATTGAAATTATGTTCTTGAGTTTCATACGTGTTGCGAGAAATTTGCGAAATTTGCCGGAAAAAATGGCGGCGTAAATCCGCGTATTGGCGGCGTAAATCCACGTAATGGCGGCGTAAATCCGCGTAATGGCGGCGTAAATTCCCGTAATCATGTTGGCAACATTTGTCACCCATGGACCACTGAGATTGCTTGGCTTATCAGGGTGTAGCATACACATGAGCACAAAGACTCTTGTTAGGAGGTGGTCAATTGTCAGAGCTTGCACAATGACCTTGGAGAATGACCCTGAGTACCAGAAGTTGGGTATAGTTGGTAAATTTGGCAATGGGAATCGTAGAGCGGTCAGGGATTTGGGGTTGCGATGACGTTATCGTGGAGGTGAGTGTGAGGGTTTGGTCTCTACCTCGTGTTACTTGGGGGAGCTAACTGAGTATCCTTGAGCCTGGCGTGGAGGAGACATGCACCATCCTTCCCCATATATGGAATGTGGCGTTTTGTTTTTCTGGTGGCGTTTTTTTTTTGGACGACGGCAATTTTCCACTCTGGTGGCAAATTTTTTGGCCACCATGGAAAGCGGCACTTTTTTCGTCCACCAGGTGGATCTAGGTATAGGCCACCCTCTCAAAGCAAAAGATCCCCCTGGACTTTTTAGCCGAGCTCGAGCTCTTGCTGCTAGCAGCACAAATCCAGTCCTGGTTCTTACAGGTCAAAGGCAAGCGCCAAAGGTCATCGAGCGTCACCTGCATAGTGCAGCAGCTCGGGAACAATACAACCCACGTTCGACGTTCGGTGATTTCAAAGTATCCCATGGTATCTATAGGGAATCTAAGGGTTCTCCATTCCCTTCTTCAACCAAGGCCACCATCGGATTTTCTTCTCCCCTCCGTGATGATGATGTCACATTTCTGAGGATCTCTCAGTTTCTGAAAGGAAGACATAACGGGGATTGGGTGGAAAAAGAGGGCTCGCAGCGTCTTGCAGCTGATCACAGCTGCCCCGTATGGGTGCGATTGCACGGTCCGGTGCGATTCCGGGGGGAAGAAGCAATAGCAAGTCTGAAAGAAGCGGAGTAACTTCACCCAGGACTGAACAACGATTTACAATGGCTTGAGAGGTTCGATGGCACAACCCCCTAAGACGTCTTTTGGATGGGGGTCCATATAAACCACCTTAACTTGGGGGATTGTGCTATCTACTCTGAAACCACTATCTATTCACCTGGTGCAATACCCAAGTGGTGTCCACCACGTGATCCGGACACCACGTTGGTCTGAGCTGACAATTTTTTTGCAGCGTTGCACCGTTGACGGTCCCCTGTCTTTGCCGGATTCATTCGATGAACCTAGTGGAATCGGTGCAAGATCCTCGCAATTACATCGATCCAGCAAGTGGGACCGAAAAGGGGAGTGTCCGGGCTGGTTCCTTTGTGTGGGACAGTCGGATCTTGGTTCCTTGGACACATTTTAGGTTGAGAAGGTATGTCTGATCAAGCTTGCCTGGAGACAACAACTGCTATCAGGGTAAAAGTGAGAAGCTTAGGCAACAGAGACTTTTCTTGAAACTATCCCTGGGCTCTCCGGATTTTCCGCTCCCCTCTTCGTACTTCCTGAACATCTCCCCCAAATCCAAAAGCATGGCTTTCATTCTCTTTTGCAACACCCAATGGATATGATATCAGGCTCCCGCAAAGAAGTAAACTCCAGTTTTCCATTCTCTTTTTCCAATCTGTTGTGCCGTCCGCTTTGTCCGCCTCCTGCTTTGGCCCTGACTCACAGGCACCGCCGAAGACCCAGAAGGAGCCTGGAACCAGGTGAGGATCAAATCGCCTCTTTGTTGGAGGATGAAAGGGCAATGATTTCTTCATGCTATTTGGTATCTCTTGTCATGAAACCTATTGGACCTATACATTATCAATTCAAGACAGCAAGGACATTTCATCATGTTTGGCATGTCTTGTCATGAAGCCTGCATCACTTCAATATACGCTGATCTACTTGAACATAATATGGTCGGTGTTCGTCTCAACATCAAGAAGTGACACACACACACAACCTTTCTCATCTATGTCTCCAGACTCACTACCCAAACACCACCATACTTCGTAGCCAACCTGCCCTCCCCAACAACCCCAAGAAACACTGACACATGCCGTTGAACTGTTCATGGACTGGGGATGACTGGGGTAAGTCTTCTCAGTCCTTTCCTCACGTTTTCCAGCTACTACAGTAGTAACAAGGGCATCGCTACAAGTAACAAGAAGCTACTAGAAACCGTTTCCACAAGTGAGACGGTTCACTTTGGACACTTGCACCCTTCAACGGCCAGCCGCTCGGCGCCTTTCGCGACAACACAGCCAGCAGCCATGCGTCCACGAGGCGCCTAGTGACAAGGCGGAGAGCGAAGGATTTGTGTTCGAAGGCCTGGCTTTGGAATGGAACTGGTCAGTGGTTTCTACCTACTTGAACAAAGATTGTCAGTGGGTTCAATCGTCCCAAGTAACGGTTGAAAGCTAAAATTATCCGAAACCATCACCTAGAAAACGCTAGATATCAAGAAACACCCAAAGCAATCCTTTCTCCCAGCAACATATCCAAACTTCTTGTTTCTGTGACAGTATTCCTCTTGATTGTTCTTCTCTGAAACAATGACTTTATGTGGCTGCAGTGGTATCTACAGTGTCTTTTGGGCCAGTTGGACGAACCTCTGCTGAGCTTTATACTTAGCGAAAGCGGTGTGCATTCCAAAAAGGAAAGAATCAGAGTCTCAGCGGACAAACTGAACTTCCCCCCCCAACTGAACTCCAAAAACCGTTCTTCACTTTCCCGTTCTTCACGGCTTCACCACAAACGACGAACTGACCATGCGGACCGACGACGAACTCGGCGACTCGACGAAGCGGACGCATCGGGCTTCAGCCCGGTCCTGGCGCGCTGCCTCGCCACTCTTCGCTTTGGCGCCTGAGGCAGTGCTGGGGATATGCAAGACGCCCGTGGGGTCGCCTGCCCGTTGGGAAAGGAGAGCCATTTCCACGTCGTCGGGAACCCTTGAGGAGGACATCGAAGGACCTATCGAGGATCACGATGTACCAACAGAGGTTAAGTGACCTTATAGGACACTACAGGGGTACCTATGGGATAGCCTATAGGGTCTTTCAACCTCTGTTGGTACGTCCTCAAGTCAGAAGGTTTACGCGTCGCTGGGAAAGAACAGTGATGATATGATATGACATATGCATTTTTTCTGAAGGTCTGCAAGTGGCCAATTTCCACTTGACAACCTGTCAACAAGGGCCAAATGCATCATATACCAAAGACACTCCCGAGCAACCTTCTACGTGTCTTCGCTCCATATATATATATATATACATATATCTATAAACTGTTACTGTTTGTGGGATCCGCAGTGAGCCTTTGCGCACTATCTACTTTGGACATATCCAAGTAACATCCTTTAGGATCATCCCCCCTACTCCCCCCCAAGCTTTACTCACTCCCCACACATTCCTATAGTTAGGCATATCATTTCTCACTCGCCTCGCACCCCACCGCACTGACCGATGGCCAACGCTCCGCCTTGGTGGATGGCCAACGCTAAGCAGGCTGCGTCGGCGCCGCCGCCGCGCGCCAAGAGTTCCTCCGGAAGCACGGAGGCCTGGCAGGTCGACGGACGTCGACGCCGTGATGGAGTCCATAGATTGAGTCTCTGAGCACCCGCCTCGAACTCTGTGGTCCTTTTCTGGAATGCGTCCATTATGGGTGACCAAAGGAGCTCAACCTACCGGGTACACAGGAAGTCAACCTGTTGGGTGTATAGGGTTCCGGCTGCCATGACCCAATGAGAGATGGACTCTTCGGAGACGTTCCCCATCCCACCCCCATCGATCGAGCGCCTCACTCGCCCCGAGTTTCTCGTGCCCAGCTGATGTTGAACTCATCCACACAATGGAGTAGAATTGTGTGGAGATAGGCCACAAACATCAATTTCAAGTCTATTTTCTTTTATGATTTTGATATGGTTTTGCTATGTTTTCGATATGATTTGGTTAAACTGTGTTTTAAATGTTTGTTGTTTTTTTTGTGTTTGTTTTTGGATATGATTTGGTTATGGTTTTCTTATGCCCTTGGAGGTCTCCAATTTCACATATGCAGGGCCTTTTGGGTTGCAAATGGGGTGTCGAGCTTGATTTGTGTTCTGCAATACTTTTGTCTTGAAGTATTTTTTTCCATAGCAAACACATAACTATGCTTTGCAGCCAGGTTTGCCCAGCTTCTGGGCTAGGATCTAGCGGCTAGCATCTGCTGCTAGGCTAGGAAAGTTGAGCTGAGCTGATTGCAGGGGTTCACTTGCAGCAACAGTTTGGCAATCCTCCATTGAAATCAAGTTTGGTTTGTTGAGAAACATGTCGCAAGAGCCGAAGACTAGAGTGACTAGAAGACCTTGAGCTCAGCCTCTTAGACTCTAGACTCTACGACCTCAAATCTGATACTCTAAACTTCACAGGTGACCCAGCCAGTGTGAGACCACCTCAGCCCAGCGGATGAACATCATAAAACAAGTCATAAAACCACTCATAAAACCATTTCCCAGGCCAATGTTTCTTTTTCTGATTTTTGAATTCGGTTTTTGATTTTGTTATGATTCCGTTTGAATTTGTTGTGATTTTGATATGACATTTGTGTCATGATTGTGTTATGATTTTCTTATGGTTTCAGATCATCAAGGATTTTGCGTTATGGAATTCTTATGGTTCCCGGTTCCCGGGTCCTTTTTGCTTGGAAAGGCCAGGGGTTTGCGGCAACTGCCCTTGCCCTGCAGAGGAGCTTCCAGGGTAGTGACCTGCTGCGCACCTGTTTTTGGTGTAGGCCCCAGACTCAGCCAAGCAAACAGGGGGCCCGGTTCAGTGCCACCTGCCCTAGCGGCTAGCTAGCGGCGGCTGGCTGCTGTTTGAGACTGTCCATAACAAAAGCATATTTTTTTTGGAAGTATTCAAAAATCGTGCAAAAACAGAACTATGTTTTGGAAGTGTCACAAATCATAACGAAAACATAATTGTTTTTTAGGAGTATTTCAAATCCATAACAAAAACACAACTATATTATACATTTTGGAGGTGTTCAAGAATCATAACAAAAACATAAATATTTTCATATGGTTTTCAGGTAGTCCTCAAAAGCCATTAAACAGTAAAGCAGAGTGTACCAAAAGCAGAACGAAATCATCACCAAAACACGAAAGAAACACATCAATGATCTAGTTTTTTGGCCTTAATCTAGAACTCGCAAGAGTAGAAAGCATTGTGTGAGTCCCTTGAACCTTTCAAGAAGCTGGATAACAAAAAACAAGAAGCTTTCAGAAGCTTGCAAACAAAGAACCACTGCTCTGGGAGTAGGTGATGAGCTCCTGGTGCCAAGCATCCCTTTTTCCTTTCAACTCACATCCCAGCTTCAAGAAGACACCCAAGAGGGCCTTCTTTGCTGGATCACCTGCCCTTTCGTTTGGCAACCTCCTGCCACATATTGTCAGACTCTGGGTCTTTCAGACTTGTTCTTGCATTGGCAAACCTTTGCCAAAGGGCCTCCCTTTGACATTTGGTGAGGCCATCCAAGAAGGCACGCACTTATTTGAAGCCCTTTTTCTGAAAGAGTTTCATTTTCTCTTCTAGGCTCATGGCTTGAAGCTTTAAGAACGAAGCTGCTGGCAGTGAAGTCGCGACTAGCGATCATTGTCTCAGAAGCCTCCGTTTCAGCGGCTAGCCATTTGGTGTAGGCACTTCGTACAAGCCAGTAGGAAAGCGCAGCAAGTCTGAGACGCGTAGCTTCCCGAAGACCTTGCAGAAGGTGGCAGGATCGAAGGTGCCTCGCAGACCTCGTGCTGGTGCAGTTCCAGTTTGGGTTCAAGCCAGCGACCCGACAGGGTGAGTATCTCTGTTTGGTCTCTTCCTCCACCGACAGAGACCTCTTTGAAAAGCGATCATGCTGGAAGCGAGATCTGCTGGTGGCGGCGGCTTCCAACTGCTCTGAGCCGGTTGAGTTCCAAAACCGTCTTGATGGCCCGAGTGGGTCCGCGAGCCCCGTCCGGATGCACCTTTGCGGTACTCGAACCGGATGCACGTTTGGATGGCCTCCCATGGTCCGGGCCATGTGGGCCATTTGAGCAAACACCTTTCGGTTAATTGCCCATATATCCATTGACCCCAACATGCTTAACTCTGTCGATTTAGTATAACCTTCTCTGCAGCTTGATTTTTGTTCAGGCCCAAGACTGCCAAGACCCTTTGGATGAGCCCATCCCTTGTGTTTGCTTCCACTGTCACTCCTCTTGGCCGTGCATAGTTTCCCAACACATGAACCCTAGCGAAACTGACCGTCGCAATTCGGCTGAGCAATCGGATGGCAGTAGGAACTGCATCATGAGGGCAACCTTTCATACGCCCTGGTCCCCAATAGCGCCTGTGACATTGGTGGGACGTCTTTTGTATCCTTTAAACATCCTAGGATTCGAGACATCTCTGTGTTCTTTGCTTCGTAGCGCGGTGGCTTTGAGTCTGGCGGTTCATGGTTCTCTGCCGCCACTTCATAGGCTGCGTACCCGCATTCTGCCGCGATACATGCGGCAATCGTCATCAGGTTGAGCGTGTCTCCTGTCATCCCTGTAACAGCCCTTACCACCTTGCGATTGAATGCGGTCCCTGCTGAGCCAGGTTGTTCAACCCAATGGGTGAAGTCTGCAGATGGACGAAGCTTCGGTGGCTCTTATGTCCGGGTGAAACGAACTGCTGATGTAAAGGCTAGCTTTAGATAGTTTTGGACCATGCTCATATATGTTCACATCCTGTGCGTGTTCATTTGGCCCCATTGGCCCCGTTTGTGCCAACAACCACAAGCATTTCGCACATTGCTGGACAATATCGCTGGAAGCTGTGTGAAATGCTCTGAACATTTGTTCATCTGTATGCCCTGCAAAAAGATCCAAGAAGGCTAGCAGTCAACTACAGGGTACCTGGGTGGGACAAAACCGCTCAATCACTGCCTCGCAGCCCCACGCCCCTGAAACGCCCCTGCTGTGTTTCAGCCTGTGGAGAGGCCGGTAGCTGTGAACCGGGCCGTGGCCAAATGCACGTCCAGCGTGGAGTCCCGGTGCAGTCCTGCGATGCGTGGCAGGCTGCGACCCGGGTGTTCCGCGACCCGCGACGCCGTCGTGGGCGTCGGTGGTGTGGACACATCCGGGAAAGACGGGGCAGGTGGAGAACGCAGTGAAGGAATATATATATATATATTGGAGGGGGACCTGCAAAGACTGTGATCATTTCTCAATGGACCTGCGCAAAGCCATGCCCTTTTCTGTGATTGATTAGTGTTGTGAAGGCATGGGCAAGCCAAAGCAGGTTTCCCTCAGCATGGACGATCCTTTGACAACAGAACAACAACCACGTTCAAAGGAGGAGCATGGATGAACACGAGCAAGAACAATCATGCATGCAAAAACTCTTCAACCAAAACGGTATATGTTGACAAGAACAATCGCATTCGCATGTTTCCAAGCAACTGACTGGTGCTTAGTAAGGAATGAGGGAATGGATCCAAAAGAATCCACCAGGTATCGAAAAACAGGGAAGGGCTCCTTCCCTCATTCCCTACGAGTCGCACCAGTCAGCCAAAGGCTGGCGGCTGGCAGGTCAAGACACCTCCAACCTGGCCTTGGCACATCACCTCGCGAACCACAGCGGTCACCACGTCCGGCTCCCCGCGACGTCCGCGGACCACGTCCGGTCCAGAAGGAACAGATCTTGATGAAACACCGCCACGTCCGCTGCGCGTTTGGTGCCATCCGACCAGTTGGACGCCTGGGACTGGGAATGGCCACGGTGTCCAACGTGGTTTCGGTGGTTGGTGAGGGACACACGTGTCTTCAATCACCTTCTGAGAGGGCATAATAGATCCATGGGAGTGTGTGTATCTGAAGGTAACGTACATTATGTAGATATTATGTAGTAGATGTACCAGCGTCATCCTGTCTGGGTGTCCAATAGACTACCTTACCCTACTTACTGGTCTCCATTGGGCACCCTTTGGAAGTGCTAGGTAGATGTCAATTAGTAATGAGAACAACACACATTATAAACACAGCAGAAAAACACTCCATTGGACTCCAGAAGTCTTGGAGAATGAACAGGTAGTTGAACAGGTGTAGGGAATCTCTCTCTCTCGCTCTCTGGATGCCTCTGAATGCCCCTCTCTGGAGTGAACATCCAAGCTGTTCAGACTCAAAAACACCTCTCCCACCAATGCACAAACGGGCTTGGAGGGTATTTGATGGTTGCCACCCATCACGAACGCAAGGATGCACTGTATAGCTTGTCTAGCCACACAGGACCTTGTTTACCACTGGCACACAAACACACACACACACACAGCGGGTATTGAAGGTCTTTCTCACACCCGCGGATTTGAGGAGTGGTGAACTACTTCTGGAGCCAGGTCCGCGCATCGGTTCCGTGTCATCAGGACGGCACTGTCAGAAGACTTGCGTTCCATGTGAGGATAGTTTCCAAGGTGCACACCCAACATACGCACCCTTTCAAGCAGTGATCAACGAAACTCCTGCAGCACACCCAAAAGAATAATACTGCGCACCAAAATAGATGACCAAGATGATCCTTCGGACAAATTCTCAACGTTGAGATCTTATTGTCCGAAGACTATGACTGCATCCAGCGACTGTTCAATTCCAAACATCTCTAAGTGATCAACTGGTGGCTGACAAACATGTGTGAAGTTTCAGACTCGAAAGCACACCTTCACACACCTGACAAGACATGGAGACTCTGTAAATACTATGTAGTCATTCACACGATATTCCGCTCATGGACAGCGCCAAAACGCTGAACTATACTCAAATGCATTAGGCATCTTTAGGCGCTTTCCAGCCACCCCAGCCGGCACTGCCGCAGGCCCTTCTTCATGCCCAGGCCACGACTCGATGGTCTGCCACACCGCCGAAGACCAGGCGCCGCAGCGGCTCCTGTGACTGCAGGGCGCACTGACCTCGGCGGTCGCCCGGTCCGGGCGATTCTCTCAGTGGTGCGATGTTCGTTTTGTCGCAGCGAACCATCAGAAGCCTTGAGGGTGTTTCAAAGTAAAGTCATTCTCCGATCCATGGAGAGGCGTCTCTGTTGGGGGCGGCAGCGTCCTGCATTTCCTGCCATCTGTCTCGATATATTGAAAGACAAGCCGACGAACTGGCCGGTGCAAATGTCTCGCTTGGCGGACTCGAAAGGAGAGATCTTGATCCCCCTCCGGGCGATCAAGATCATTCACCAAACCTCAAAAACAGTATCCCCAATTCCTACTGGAGCTCCAGTTTGACCTCAAAAGATAAGTTACTGACCATCTTGGACCCCAATGCCTCTCAGGAAGTCTTTTCGGCCCATGTGGCGTTCGTGGTCAGCGCCCACCCACTCCGCCCATCCGGGTCCCCCAAGCAAAGCCCACTGCGCTTGCCTGGGCCCTGCGAAACTGGAGGGTTCATTGGGCCAGTGGTATCCGATCGATCGTAGCGAAACACGGCGAATGCGTCCAGGGCCGTCCCGGGCCCACTCCTTGATCTGGACGCTGAAGGGGGAGGCATTGAGCTCAGTCATATGGAACTCTGGACGAACATCCTTTTCGACTGCAACAAATAGCTTATTTCTGATTTTAGCCTCTTTAAACCAGGGTTTCTGCCATACCACATGTCCAGTTTCTAGGTGTCATACAAGCATGTAAGAAATCATGTTGGAAATGATGTCGAAAAAACTGTTTGTCATCACAGCAAAATAGGAACTGATGTTGAAAGCAATGTTTGAGTGTACTCATCTAGATGAGATGACTACTGGTTGGTGCTCGCTCGCTCCACTTGAGGCAGTTTTGTAGGCAGGAATGTGGCAGGAAGCACAATGATCACAATGTGGAGTCACGACAACAGCCACAAAAGCTAGGAACTCACGCAATTCATCCAGCAGCATTGCACTTTGTGACTTTGTGACTCTATCAGAACACCAAATCACCCTGCCGACCGTGCCAATGAAGCGTGCCTTCAGCACCTGGGACCTGCAACTCAGTGATTCAGATGGAGACGCTGGATGCGTTCAGGAGGATTGCAATGATGAAGAGCCTTGCAGTCCACTTTTTAACGTGTTCCATTTTTTCATGTTGTGCACACCCGGGTCTCCAGAGTTCCAAGTTGCACACAATATAGTGAAGCCTGGAAACAGGTTTAGCAGGCAAGCAGGTAACCAGGCTCGTAATCTGGCGCAGTTGTTTTTGGTTTTTGGGCAGCATCTCAGGAAGGAACCGACTCATGCACAACTTCGGCGCTCTCTTCCTCCTCCAAAACTGCGACTCAGTTTCCATCCGGCACGTCCAACGAGTCTGCAGTTGAACCCTCGGTTGCATTTCATCAGATATTCACAACACAACATAACGGACTTGCACTTGAAAGCTAGTCATTGGAGAGACTTATGGGCCTATGAGTCCTTGGAGTTTGGATCAAAGAGAATGAAACAAAACGTGAGCCGTGAGTACAGTGTTTGTGTCAAGTTGGATGATACTAATCAGTAAACGAGACTGAGAAATTCAGTACAACAGCAGCCAAAGTTTTGAGGATGTTAGCGACCAGATCGGCCTGCCAGAGTTTACATTGTTTCCTCAAAGCTGGGTTCCGAAGTGCCTTGGAAGAACCGTTGTCATGCACAAAGGGTCCCTGTGTAAAACCCATATCATATCATTTGTTTATTTATGAGTCCTGAGTAGTCCTGAGTATTCACTCCTCATTTCATTCCAAAAGCTAGTTGGTGTAAAGTGGGTAGTCAGGAGCAGGGAAGGTGAAGGGGCGGTTTAAGAAGTGGGCTGGCGCGCTGCAGCAAAGGTACTTCCAATATGCTGGCATTCCATCCAAAGCCCTTGACGGATTAGAGCTTCTTGGCATGGTGTCGAATCCACTCAAATCAAAAGGTGTCGCAAATAGTCTCAAAACTTTGTTTCCTTTTGGCAGTAGCAGCAACAGCAGTAGCAGCGGCGCGTCATTACAATTTTGGATTAGGATCAGGATTCAGGATTGTTCACTCATGCAGGTCACACATCGTGTAGTTGAGCAGTTGAGCACCATCCTTGTTTGAGTGGGTGGCTCTTGAGCCTGCCCTTTCAGGCTCCGGGTCTTCTCAGCCTGTGAAGGAGCTGGCACCGTCGCCTACATCATGTACCTTGGCTGCCTTGGCAATGCTCACTGCTGTGCCCACCAGCACTGATAGCCAAACTAGTTTCAGGAATTGTGTTGAGACAAGACAAAAAGCTGGACAAAAGACCTTCGGCCTTCCATGCACGGCCCCAGGGCGCACATTGCCAGCTTTTCTGGAGCCACCGTGCAGATGCTTTCCACATCGGAGATCAACAAAAGGAACCGTGATCATTGCCTGTCTCATGACGGTGGTTGCACCATGTTGCACCTTGTTTGATTTACACACAGTTTGGGGAGGGCCAGTGGCCAGCCAGCGTTTCAACTTTCAATGCTGCACAATCCTTCAAGCATGAAAGAGATGCGATGACCGTTCAGAGTTCAGAGACTACTCTATTTTTTATTGATTTCTTGCCCTCCTTCAGGCTTTGCTTGCCTTCAGTCTCCAGAAGTGCCAACAGTCAAGTCAAAGCTCAAAACTACGTTTAATTCCTCTCTCGCTCTCTCTCTCAGTGGCCAGTAGAGTGTGAGCCAAGTTGACATTTACGTTCTACATTTTTACAACCTTTTTGCTAAGGGAGGCACTTTTACAGCGACGTGACGGAGAAAGGCCCGAGCTGGTGCTACATCTGTGAGGCTAGGCACTCACCGGATGCCGAATCTTGATCAGAACTTGAGCTGCTCCAGAGGTCCAGGCTGAGGTTGAAGTTGAACACCACCTTTACCGTTACTTTTCATCATATTTATGACTATTGGCCTTGACTCCCTACACACTCAGGCCACAGTTGTGTAGATTCACACGGTCAGAGTCACACACACACGTGGACTAAGGATAGCGATGATTCTGACCTGGGGATCATTGGAATACCGTGCCCATTGTTCAGCGGTTTGAACCCCAAACAATCAGAACCCATGTACAATCCCTTCACACAGCTCCTCGGCCAATGGACCAGTTGACCTAGTTTTGTACTTGGATGGTGCAGAGTGAGGAGTCCGAATGAAACCTAATAGAAGACTTCTTCTTGCGCAGAAGAAAGTTAGCATGAAGCCTTGGAATTGAATTGCCTAGAGCCTGGAATCTAGAACTAGAGCCTATAACAGTTATAACAGGCTTTCTTCTTGAATCAACAGTTCCGAAGAGTGCGAGGGAAAGCGAGCGTGTGCAGTGTACGTGTAAGGGAAAAGGGCAAGGCTACTGCTAGTTGGTATGGTTACGTTTTGGTTTTTGTAAGCGACTGCGATTAGTGAGTTTGGATTGGTTCACATCTCAATTTGCAGAATTTGTCAGATTTATCAGGAATCAGGCCTGTCCCCTCATTTTGGAAACTCGGCCAAGGCCGACTTCTGATGTCATATTGAGCTGCTTGCAGTTGCTGCGTCGGCGCAACCCCAAAGCACTGATCATAGAGGAAGCCACTTTGGCCAGCATTTCGGCGATTGTTGTAGTAGTGACTCTAGAGAGTCTAGTCACTAGTCTCTAGTCTCTAGTAGCCAATAGCAGTAGTAGTAGAGTGAAAGTTTCCAGGGCTGCTTCACAGCCCACAATGACTCAAGATCATGTGGGGCAGGTTCAGCACTTATTCTTCGTCTGGCTGAGCTCAGCTTGCCGGCCAAACCAAGGTATGGGGTGTGCTGAAGAAGTTCAAGAATCCATTGCCTCCACCATGGGATGTATATGAGGCAGGGCAGGGTGTCTGGAACTTTGGAGAGGCAGCAGGGGGGTCTGCAATGAGCTCACACTACTCAGTAGCTGATGGCATTTTCCAAGGGAACACCAGGGAACTCGATATTGTGTACTGCACTTGCTAGTTGGCAGTTGGCAGGCAATTGGTCATTGAAATGGGTTGAACTTAACCAAAGACCGAAGACCTGCTACGACGTGGCAGTACTAGCTGGATGATGGGTGGGAAGGTTGAGACGTCGAGCTCGGCTCGAGAGCTGGGCATTCTTTCAACTAAATAGATGTGACTGAATTGACTGAATAAATTATAAATGTACTAGGGACTCGGTTGCTTTCTTCCTTCGATATTGACGAATCATTTGTCAGAATCATTCATTAAACAGATTGGTTTAGATGATTGAACAAGACCAGCAACCAAAAAACAAGACTCACGACTCTTAGTCCTTTTTAATGCTTCGCTTGCCCCCTTGCCATGCCACTAAACCTGGTCGAGTCAGAGTCAGAGGATGATCCAGAAGGTCCAGAAAGTGCCAATGAATCTGGATCGCAGGAATCAACGTCCAGTTCAGGGCTTGAGAATTTGCAAGCTTTGTCCGATTCACTGGATTCAGTCAATGTCAGCTCACACAGTTCCAGTTCCACAGGCCAGAAAGAGACCGGAGAGTGTCAAGCAGCTATGAGGAGGGCTCGTACAGCAAAGGCCAGAGCAGCAGCAATCACAGCAAAGGCTCAGCGGCGGTTGGCGTCCAACGCTGTCCTTCAATTTCCAGACCATCCTGCCAATATCTACAGAGAGGATATCAAAGCTGACAACACTTTGATCCAACCAGGTGCAAATCGGGCACGTCGGTGCCGACTACTTTGCAGTTATTTACAGGCATGGGGCCCAGCTTTGACCCACGCAGTTGGACGGAGACGCCGTTCTTCCAGAATCAGCCACACACTAACAACCTCTGTGATCGATGATTGCAACATGAGGTTATCAAGCGTTGTTCCTGGTGTATCCCATTGGAAGATGTCTCGCATTGTCTCTATCATGAACAACTGCCAGTGTTTCATTCTGGGATATGTGGATCCTACTACTGCTACTACAGACAAGCCTGCAGCAGTTTGTCACGATCATTTTCAAATTCACACCGCGCCGGCCATCTTGCCAAAAACTGATAGAAGCAGTTTGTGTGCTGAATTCCTGTCAAGACTCTTCGTGTTTCTGGGATCAGTTGGCAGCCGCTTTGCAGATTGGAAGATTCCAGTGGACTTGGTCAAAGATGTCAGGATTCAGGGTGTGTCACTTTCATTTGACTCCTTGGCAACTAACATTGCCGTGTTGAAACAGCTCAGATTGGCTGTTTGGAAGCAACACCAGGAGTTTGGCCATGAGACCATTTGCCCTTTGTTCTCAGTGTGTTGCAATATTCACCAGCTCGCCTTAGCAAGAAAACCGATTTTGCAAGGCTTCAGCAACTTCTATACCTCCATCCTGCGTTTGTCACACCTTTTCGAAGTGCATTCTTTCAGGGTTCACTTCCGCTCAGCACTCCTTCATGTATTGGTCAATTCCTTTACTTACGTCGCTGTGGCTGAACGACCATCTGAGCACAGGAGTTGGCAGGAC